ACAGTATATCCCAGCCCTTGTCAGTCTAAGATACACCTTTGCACATGACAGAATATACGAAAGGACCTCCACCCCCAACAGGTGGCCAATCCCAGGCACCCATAAGCACACACACCCCCAATGAATGTACTCACACTCATACTCACAGACTCATAAGGGTCTTACCCTCCTTGAACACACACTAACCCACACCATTTTTATCACACATAGTTCTTATCACAGTGAGCTGCCTTACTTGTTTATATGCCTATCTCTGCCGTCTTATTTTATCTTTCCATCCCTAACACCTAGCAAAATACTAGCTTTCAATAAAGGTTGTATGAATTACCAATGAATCCATTTTGCCAGGTGCCTAGCACCTTGTCTGGCTTGACACAGATGTCCCCAAGGTGTGGCACGGTTGAGCGAATACAAATGAAAGGTATATATAAACACTCAGCCCTCCCCTCCTCTCTTCCCCATAGTTACTGCCCCCCTCTGATTTCTAGCCCTCAAATTGGCAAAGAGCACTGAGGAAACCCAAAACTTCAGGACACACCCAAGCACTTAAAGGTCAGCACCTGGGCAGGTGACCTATGCAGCCCAGTAGGGCTCCACATTTTAGCCTGGGTATTTGGGGGAACGGTTTGACCAGGGGCTGCTCTTCAGTTTGACTCGTTTTCCTGACTTTGGGGCCCCCAGCCTCAAGGCTTGCTTTGCAGCCCTAACCTCCATGCCAAACTCCCCTTGTAAACAAAGACTGGCACCACCTACCTCAAGGCCCACCTAGCCTCACCTCTCCACTAGCCTGAGGTTGAGGGGGCCCTTATTCTTTGTTGTCATCATATTGCAGGGAAGGGATGGGACTGAGCCCAGCCCTGTCCTTTTGAAACTACTCTCTCCCACTTGCTGGAGGGAGAAAGGAGGGGAAGGGAGGTCACTCCAGGTAAGCCCTGGCAGGAGGATGGCTCCCCTAGGCAAAAACAGCAGCCCACCAAGCGTGGGACTGACTCTCTTGCTCAAGGGGAGGTCTACCTAGGCACAGGATTATCAACTCCCTCCAAGTCTGGGACTCTGTCTGCCCAGAGAACACCTCAGTACCCTCATGGTACCCTTCCAAGGAAGCAGCAGAGGGACAGACTGACCTGTAGGGGTTGAGGGTGCAGACAGTAACGGCAGGGAAGACGAGCTTGTCTGAGTTGAGGTTGATGTTGAGACTGACGGGGTAGCTGAAGTACTCCCCGAAAAGCAGGGCAAACTGCCAGTACATCATGCCAAAGGTGCAGAGCCATAGCACCGCCCAGAAGGCCGTCTTCATGCGGTTGTGCTGGGAGCACACCAGGCGGATGGCACCATGGATGGTGGTGTTGTTGCAGAAGAACTGGAAGAGCTCTCGGTAGGAGCGGTGGAACTCGATCAGGGCCTCCTCCTCCTCTGTGGGCTGCTGGGGGGCCGCGGGCTCAGGACCTGGCCCCTGCTCCTCAAGCTTGTCCCCCTTCATTCGCCCTTGGGTGGGCTGTGAAGGGTCGGGGTCTTGCTCCTCAATCTTGTCCCCCTTCATGAACCCTGGGATGGGTTTGGGAAGGCAAGGGTCAGGGTCAAGGCTGAGCTCTAAGCCCTGAACCCCCTCCCCATCACCATCTTGAAGTCCAAGGCAGTGGCCTTGGCTGTGCCCACATCTCACCCTGCGCCCACTCACCCTCCCCCACCTTCCCAGGAGCCAGCTGACCTGCTGAAGCCCTGGAGCCGGCTTCCCTGGAGTGACCTCTCCTCTGCTTCCCTGATAAGGCTACCTTTTGGTTCCTGTCCTAGAGCCTCCCTTTCTGTCTCCACAGCAGCCGGTCTCTTCCTTTGGTCTTCTCCCTCCAGGATCTCTATATCTGGCTCCTTCCTCAGACTCCCTCTCAGACTGCCTGCCTTCGGCTTATCCCTGGGTCTCTTTCTCGTCTCTCCTCTTCCTTGCCTGCCTCCTCCTGGTGTGCCAGACTCTCTGATCCTGCCTCTCTTCCTCTTCCTCCCCTGCCACACCCCTCTCACCCTGGGCCCTCTCCTCCAGCCTTTGGTCTTGGCCCGGGTGACTACAGGGCTCCAGGAGGTCTGGGCCACTTGCTGCTCCCCACTCCCTGGCTGCGGCTGGACTGGGGCCGGTTCCTTTCCAGTTGAATCTGGCTGCCTTTCTTTCCCCCTCACCTGACAGGTGCAGCGGCCTGGCCCAGGAGCCAGCCGGCCAGACCGGGATGTAAGCAACTGGAGCCTCATTAGCATCTCAATTAAAAGTGAGCAGAGCAGGGGGAGGGGCAGAGGAGGAGTCTTAGCCTCTAGTTCCACTGAGGGAGGAGGCTCCTGAGGGCGGGAGAACCGCCCTGGGACCTGAAGTATGGAGGGGGAGGTGCTAGGGAAGACTCTGGGCAGGGGATTGATAGGGAGCTGACCAGCCAGCAGACTGGGAAACAGACGGAGGGGAGGGTCAGAGATGGGAATAAGTAGAAGGATCCTGAACCCAAAGCCAGGAGGGCAAAACAAGGAAAAAGGACAAGCCAGGATAATAGGGTATGGAAGCCAGGAGGATGAGGAAGGCAGAAAAAGGAAGATAGTGAAGGAGGACAGAGCCAAAGACAGTGGGGACAGAGGAAGGGCCCTTGGGAGCAGAAGTGGGGCAGAGAGGAGGAAGCCTGCCCCAAAGTGAGTCCCCTGTTCTGGCAGGAGTGCTCTAGGAGGTGGGTCCCCTCCTGTGGGAATCCTTCCCGGGGCACCCACAAGCTAGCCTCACCCCCAGATCCTGGAGAGAAAGGAGAAAGGCTCTTTGCAGGGCTCCTCCCCACTCCATGAGGTGGGAGTACTTAGGTGGAGAACATATGCCTCTTTCTCCTGGTCCATCCTCTTTCCTCTGGTTTCTCACCATCCCCCCTACAGTCAAGCCGGGGAGGGGCAAGGTGAAGCTGAAGGCTGGGCGGGGTCCTAGGACATTCTGTTCTATTTTACACCAGTGGTTGCCAGGCCAGGAATGTGTAATGTCCCCTGTTGTGGTCACGGGGTTGCAGGAATGTGGGCATCTAGAGGCAGTGTGAGGGCCCAGCTTCTGCAGGCACAGACCCAGAGCCCAGATAGCGCAGGCACCAAGGGGCAGGGAGGGATGCGGTCAGTGCTAGGGGTGTGGGAGGAAGAGCATGGCCTCACTCTACTCAGGCTCTGCAAAGAGGGGAAAGCTCATCCAGAGGAGCTATGTTTTTCTCCAAAATCTCTGCCCAAATGTAATCCAACAAAAAGATCACATGAAATGCCAAGTGATGAGCAAGTAGAGAGGGAAGAATCAGGCCCAAAATGAGGACTTAAGGAGACAGGGGAGAACCACCCACAGAGCCCAGGCCCTGCACACCACGGGGAGATCTGTCACCAGCTCTAGCTCATGGGCCAGAGTGCAGGAGCCGATCAGAGTGCACATATGTGGGCACCCGCTTGTCTTGCCTCCCCGCCCTCCAGTACCAGGAATGCGGACCCAGGCCCAGGCCAACCACCGATAGAGATTAGTGGAAGGAGATGGGCCTGTAAAGGGATTCTGGTGGCAGAGATAAGGGCCAGGTGCCGGGGAGCCTGAGGGAGGAAGGGTGGGGCTCATTAAAAGAAACTCAGGAAGATTCCCAGAGGTGTCACCTCAGCCGGATCTTGGAGAACAAAGAGTTTCCCAGACAAAGAAGAGGGAGAGAGGGGTCTCTAGGCTTAGGGTACAACCCGGTCTGTGGCTGCCTCTCTTGTGGCTGCTTCTTGTGACTCCTTAAAGTGCCAACTTGTGTCAACCAGGATTTCAACCCAGGTCCCAGTGCTTACCTTGGCACCTGTTCACGATACCTTCACTAGGAAAGGAAAGGCTGGCTGTCTCTTTGTATTTCTGATGAGGAAATTAACTGACCATCCACAAAGATATGCCAGTTTTCCGAGGTTACAAAATAGCAGCAGAATTATAAACAGAATTCTCCTCCTCCTCCTCTGGAGTTGTCTACTTAGCGCTTTGGCCATTTACTTCCTGAGACAGACTAGCCACAGACTCACAGGGAATTGGGGCTTCCTTGCACCCGGATTTGAAAGCCAGGAAGGGTTCACTCACTCCCACATGGAGTCTGTGGATCTGTCAGCTCTTTAGGTGCTGTGTGCTCTACTGTCCCCACCTCCCCACAGGCTCCAGATGCCCCTAGAAACTCCAGTCTCCCTTTAGCCCTGTCCTTAAACTAGGGATGCTCCTCCCTCCAAACAACACACTCAGCACCCTGCCTGTTTGATCTCAAGAGTATCTGAGAAGGCCTCTCTGACTTTTCTGTTTGCTAGCTGGTGCCTGAAATCCAACCACTGACCAGAACAGGCTGGAGCAAGCTTGTTGTGGTGAGAAAACTGAAATCTGAGACCTGCACTTTTGTCAGAGCGCAATGCTAAATATCTTTTAAAGTGTAGAAATAATACACAAATACATTTTTGTTGCAATACAATTTTTCCAGCAATACGGAAGTGCATAGAACAATAAAAGTTCCCCCCTTTCTCCCATTCCTTTCCCTCCTTTCTGCCCGAGGGTAGCCACTGTTATTTGTATGTCCATCTAGATCTTTCTGTGTGCCTTTACAGATTTATATGTATTTTTTAAAAACTAATTTTTTTCAAAAGTGGAATCGCATTCTGGTTATTTTTCTATAGCTTATAATCTTGCTTTTAAACTATGGGACTTTAGAAAAGACATTTTATCCCGTGGCCCCAGTTCAGTGTCCTCACCTGAGAAAATGAAAGAGCAGGAAGGGGTGGGTAAGGCAGCCCAGAGGGGCACAAAGACCCTTTCCAGCTCATGCATCTAGCCCCTTGCCTAACACACAAGGAAGTGAAGGCCTGGGGAGACAAGTTACCTGTAGTCACCCAGGAGTTAGGATGGGGCCAGACTGAGAACTGATCCCCATCTTGCTAAGCTCAGGGCTCCTTCTCAGACTTCCAGAGAAGTGCAATTTTGTTCAATGAGAGGTCAGCAGCCTTGTAGACATTGTCTCTGAAGGACTCCCCATTCCCAGAGCTCTCACCATCCCCCCCAGTGCCCCAGCCAGGGCTGCCATCCTCCTCCCAACACCAGCCATCTTCTAACCCTGCAGTGTGGCCATAAAACATGCAAGTCTGCAGGGAGAGAAATGAAGCCAGAGGGATCTGGAGTAGGATGAAAGTTCTGAGTAGGAAGGGTCTTCCTGCCTCTTGCTCTCCAGGGGATGACAGAATTAATCATTTTCTCCTCCACATTGCCAGAGAGAACCTATCTCAGCACTCACTGCCACTTACTACTATTATTACTTATCATTATTATTTATTAATACCACGACTATCCTGATATGTATGTGTGTTTACATATGTGAGGAGAGGGAGCATGTTGGTGAGCTCAGTGCCTGGTGAGCCTACTGCCTACTGTTTGTTGACTCATCCTACAGAAGACAGCAGAATTAGGATCTTGGGTAAGACCCAAGGTTTATCTTTGAAGAAAGGGATGTGCTCTGGGAAAGCATCCCCTAAACATCAAACCTCCTAACTTCCTTGATAACTCATTTATTTGTGGCCTATCATTTTATTTACATTTTCTTCACTTTTTCCTTTTCATCCTCTATCCTTTCTATGGTAACAATGATTTACTCAATTAAATACAACTCTTTGCCTCAGTGCCCGTATCTCAGTGGTTAGGGCACTGGCCACATACACCAAAGCTGGTGGGTGGGAACCAGGCCCAGGCCTGCTAAACAACAATGACAACTGCAACAAAAAAATAGCTGGGCATTGTGGCAGGTGCCTGTAATCCCAGCTACTTGGGAAGCTGAGGCAAGAGAATTGTTTAAGTCCAAGAGTTTGAGGTTGCTGTGAGTTATGATGCCATAGCACTCTACTGAGGGTGATATAGTGAGACTATGTTTCAAAAAAAAAAAAAAATATATATATATATACATACATACAACTCTAATTAACTATCTCACACAGATCTTCCCACTGTGAGAAACAGCAGTCTCTTTATCTGTGCTTACATCATATAGATTTCTCTATAATCTGGGTCAGGAAAGGTGGCTCACACTTATATAATCCTAGCACTCTGGGAGGCCAAGGTGGGTGACCAGACTGAGCTAGAATGAGACCTTGTCTCTAAAAAATAGCTGGGCATTGTGGTGGATGCCTGTAGTCCCAGCTACTCAGGGGGCTGAGGGAAGAGGATCACTTAAGCCTAAGAGTTTGAGGTTGCTGTGAGCTATGACTCTGTCTCAAAAAAAAAAAATCTCTATAATCTAAAATGATAGTTCAGAAACTCCTCCCTACTATACTTAGTGTAGTTACCTAGAAGGATACATAGAGGTTTACTCATAGAAGTTTATCATTTTGGGTTAAGACAGGGTTTATCAACCTTAGCACTATTGACATTTTCAGCCAGATCATTCCTTGTTAGGGGATGGGATAATTCTGCCCTGTGCATGGCAGGTTTAGCAGCATTCTTGGCCTTTATTTGCTAGATGCCAATAGTACCTCTTAAGTCACAATCAAATCCTAAGTCCTAAGTTACAATCAAAAACATCTCCAGATATCACTAAATGTCTTCTGGGAGGGGACGAAGTCAAGAACAAGTGGGTTAAGGCATTGTTCTCTGGAGAAGGGCAGCCCTCATCAGTTATGCATTTCTCAATATTTATCAGACCCTTTTCAAGGGTAGTTGACTAAGAACAGTGTGGGAAAGAGAACACAAAGAAAGTGTATTTAGAAGAATCCATTCCCACCAACCCTCTTTTGGGATTCTTCACAGGCCTGTGGGAAGGTGGATCTCTCAACAATTCCCTCTGAAGAAGGTCTGGGAGAAGCGTCCACTCCCACACATTCTAAGAAGTCTGAGTGACACTTAGTGTGGGTCTGGTGTTGCCCTGTGAAAATTAGAAAAGCTTCAGGAAGCTGGTGAAGAACACAAAAGGAAAGCAGCAAAGATAATTCCTTGCCCACAAAGAACTCAAGGATTTCTCACCTCTGTGAGTCTCCTTTCATCTTCCTGGGAAGGGTTGGGTAGGCATTATAATGGCCACTGATTGATAGCTCATGAAGATTTATCTGTCATGGTCCAGCTGGGAAACAGGGAAACACTAAGTTTTTGAAACAGATGGAATTTAACAAAGGGAATCTGTGCATCATTGATGGGAGAGCTGAGAAGCCAACAGGGGACAGTAAGGCAGCTCAGAAA